GTAAAATGCTTTTTCGCATCTAGAATCAAGTCGCATTGGACATATATTCCTACACATATGAAGACAATCGGCGCTATCGAGCATTCCTCGAGACAAAACTAAAGCTCGTAAATTATTCTCTCGGATTAAGATCTCGGTCGCCCAATAAATTATACTTGATCAAGTCACACGTAGAGAGATGACATGTTTATATATTCAATACTAGAAACGAACTTTTAGCCAACCAAAAAAGAAATAAACAAGTGGTAGTAGTCAACATGTGGTCCTCTACCCATTAATCGAAAACAAATTCAATCAATTGATAACTTTTCTAGTAAGCAATCTTGATTTTCCTAGCTGGTAGTGCTAGGTCACGTACAAGGAGGAAAAGTAGCCTAAACCCTATATAAGTTAGGAATAAACTCTTTTTGTCAAACTGTTTATTTACTTTCAATAATCTTAACAATCATTCTAAGTGTCAATAGTTGGACTCTATCTCACCCCTTCGGGGTGGTCGAGTTGATGGAGCAGGTAAACGCAGTGACCAAAGGTCACGAGTTCAAATTCCATGTCAACACTTCCACGTTCGAGCCCGTCGCACCGGGCTTGCCTAGTATGGTTTACCTCTCCTGTGTAGTTTGCGGATTACTGCACATTGAGCAGAGTTTACCTAGTGCGCACTCACAGTGATTGGGCCTCCGCCCCCTTCGGGGTGGTCGGGCTCCGCTGGCAGGTTCCTACGTTAACAAAAAAAAAAAAAATAGTTGGACACTACCTCGACCCAATATCAAGTTCATTCTAACAAGAAGAGATCCACATCTCGTACAACTAGTCTACAAAGCTATCCAAATAAATAATTAGTCTAGATGAAGAAAATTCTGATTCTCCACCAGATTGTTCATCCTTCCACAAGAAGTTGGACTTGAGGATTTACAGACAACTCGGATCCGTCGTGTTCAAATTTATCTGTATATTCGTATGATGTAAACATCATTAAAAAAATGATTATTGTCTGCACTTTGTGGACAATTCGTGCTAATTATTTAGTTTCTTGATTAGTCAATCATCCTTAAATAGTTCTAAAAACTATTAGTCTTGATTGTGGTAAATTCTCCCGTCTAAATTTTAATATGTGACAAAACTAATTGATGCATGTGGGCAGATACTAAAAGGACATCAATTTTTGACAGTTTCTTAGATGAATAATATAAGAAATATCTCTCCGTCTAGGTTCTTTTCATAATCGGTCTTAAACTCAGCTACAAAATAAGAGTTACATTAGTGTAACTTTGGTCGTGCGTTATATACATTGATTAAAAGAGTATGCCGACTATTTCATTTTTTCCTTCGAAGTTAAGCATGTGAGGTGCATGTGCATCATTAAGGATCGCACCTAATCCTATAAGTAGTCGACCGTTACTATGACCCTTTTTTTTCTATTTATCAGCCCAATATATTGAAATAATAATAATAATAATAATAATAATAATAATAATAATAATAATTGTTCCCCTAGTTCCACCCCTATCGTAAGATTTAGAGCTTCTTGACTGGTAGCTTGATCAGTCTCTTTCTATTTCGCTAGCACGAAAGGAGCATCTAATCTTCAATTAATGAATTAGTTGTCTCTGTATAGCGGTGGCAACGAGTCGAGCCGAGCCGAGCCCGAGTCGGGAAAAAAAAGCTCGGGCTGAGCCCGAGC